TCCACCGCCCCCTCGGATTGAAATGAATGAGAGCTGTGTGCTTTCATGCCCAACAGCCAGCACCTGCGACTCTTTGTAGGTGGGCTGTCCTCAGCTGCTGGACCTCCCTTTGCCAAGAGCACAGAGAGCCCGAAGTCACTGGGAAATGACGTCCGACATCACCAGGGGCAGCCCTTGCCCCACGATGACAGGTGCAGAGGTGTGAATACTTCAGCCCAGCTGGGGACAACTCTCAGGTGTGACTTAGCTGCCTCACTGGACTGAGTCAAGAGTTTACTCTCTTAGGACGTTGCTTCATCTCAAGCTCTTGATGGCCCCCTTTTCTTTCTTGTCCCTCACCTTCCGTTGTCTGCCAGCGTTTCTGGGGCCCACTTCCTAATAACTTACTTCCAGACAAATCCTTTCTTATTCAGGATCTCCTTATGAGGAACTCCCCCACTCAAGATAGAAAGAGAAGAAAAAAGGAGGGAGCGATGGTTCCCCATTTTCATGTTATTTACTATAAACAGTGATGCCATGTGTCAGAAGTTAAGTCATTATGAATAATAAAGTACAGCTTTGCAAAATAATTCCTTTTGTATAAATTAGAGTGCGTTCCAAGTTACCCCTGTAATAGGTTCACTCTCCCTCACTTGCGGGCCAAGATGCTTTTAAGGGGGAAAAAGAGGATGCATTTCGGCTAGCTCGGATTTGCACATACCTACCCCTTGATTATCCCAAACCTAGATATACCCACGGGGTGGCTCCTGCATGTAAATATCAATCGTCATGTGTTTGCTGTGCTCAAAAAGTTGAGCCTTGCTGGATCGGATCCCTGGGAATTTGGGGCTTTATGCCTTCCTAGACCAGGTTCACAGGCGCAGGGCTTGGAGGCCCAGGCTCCCCCCGGCCCACTCAAACAGCACACCTTCCTCCCACTAGGAATGTCTTTCACTCTCATCTAATCCCTTCTCACCAAACCCACCTCTTCCAGGAAATATTCTCAGATTCCTGCCTCTCCCCACCCAGTCCACCCCGAGCCCCCCCTTCCTGGCATTGTGGGAAAGTGATGTTTGTTGGAACCACTTTCTTAGCACATGGCCACTTCCTCCCCCCACCCCGCCAAAGCTGGCTGGAGTCCCTGAATCTTTAGTTGCAATCAGGCTGACCAGGCAGGAGCACATTAGGAGCTGGAGCCAATGCAGGAGTGGGAGCTGGGGCTGGCCTGCTGTTGCAGAATCACGGAAGCAGGGGTGGGGAATGGCCAGCCCGTGGGCTGTAAAAGGCCTACAAAATCATTTGGTCTGGCCCTGCCAAGGCATTAGGGGTGAGTTAATTACATATTTGACCAAATACAGCAGGCTAATTTTTAAGTTGATAATTTTGTGCGGCCTGAGAATGATGTTATAAATATCCAAATGGCCCTTAGAGAAAAAAGGTTCCCCAGCCCTAAAGTATGGATGTGGGGCACCTGCCCAGCCCAGCTGCCGAACCCGGACACCTCCTCTCAGGGTCTGGACCTGATCCTTGGACATGGATGGGGACACTGCAGTGCCTGGGGCACCTGGCTGCCTCTCTGTGCTTCTGCTAGGAAACTGGCAACTCCCTATGCCCTAGATCAGTGATGGCGAACCTATGACACGCGTGTCAGAGGTGACACGCGAACTCATTTTTTTGGTTGATTTTTCTTTGTTAAATGGAATTTAAATATATAAAATAAATATCAAAAATATAAGTCTTTGCTTTACTATGGTTGCAAATATCAAAAAATTTCTATATGTGACACGGCACCAGAGTTAAGTTAGGGTTTTTCAAAATGCTGACACGCCGAGCTCAAAAGGTTCGCCATCACTGCCCTAGATTGAGCTCAGACTTACGGTGCCTCTTGACTCCAGGGACTGGGCCTCTGGCCACCTCTCCCAGGGCAAACCCTGAAAAGTTCCTGCTCTTTCACCGGACTTTGGAGTTCTAGCAAGCTTGGTGGCTAAGGCCTCTGGAGCAGTGACACAGAGCGCATGCTCTTGGTATCTCAGTCTGTTTTCTGAATCTCTCCAGAACCCCCCCCCCGCCCCCCCCCCGCAATTGAGTGGTACTATGTACAAGCAAAGGGTCCTGTGTTACATCTATGGGTTCTGGAAGGCTGCGTAGGTTACAAGTGTGAAGTGCTCATTAAATGTTTGATTAATTGCAATTCCTCCTGTAGGGCTTGGCTATGCTATTCATTGGTTTAATCATCCATTCTTTCCATCTACTTATCCACCCACCCACTCAGTCATATAATAAGTGTCTGTATCTGAAATAATGACTTCATTTCTTCTGTTCTCATCTCACAGACTGGGGAAGAGATTTTCACCCTAAGAACCTAGTCCCGGGAGAGTGGGGTGAGCATATTTTGAAGGCTGCAGAGAGGATGACAAAGAAAAGGCCCACGTGCTCAGCCTAGCAGGTCAGGTGCTTACTTCCCAGTGGGCCGGAGAGGGCTTGCAGATTACAGGGAGGTAGGACACTGCTTCTATTCTGCCTGATACGCTGAGGACTCCACTGCTCCTAAGAACTGATATTTGACCTGGCTTGAGGTGTGTGTGTCCACAAGTAAGCTTTAGATTATTGAAAGATAAGGATGTCTTTGCAAGTCCTATTGCCCTTGAGTTCTTGAAAGGAGACTGGCCTGGGGGCAGTGGCTGAAGCCCATCCTGGGCTATTCCAGACTGATGAATTCAGACCTGAGAAATAAACGCTGATTGCCCGCCCACCCTCCAGTTGGGATGGAGTTTCCCGCATGGTGAGATTTCCAGGGTGAGGTTGGAAGGAGAGACACCCACAGAGAGGCCGGCGTGAGGACTGGGACCAGGTCAGGGTGGGATGAGCCCAAGTGGAAAGCCTGTAAGGTCCAACTCTTAGGTACTCCTCCCCTGGAGAGGCACCTCCCCTCGGGTCTAGATGCTCCTGATGTAGAACAGGCATACCGGTACTCACTTTTAAAGTTGCTTTCCTCCATGTCGTAGTATTCGCCAAGGCTGCCAATGGGTCAGGAGAGCAAGAATCACCCGTGCGACCTTGAGCCCAGGCTGCAGAGGGCAGGGAGGGCCAGGGCACTCTGGGGAAGAGGTGCCTCTGTCCTCCCCTCTTCTTCCCTTCTCAAGGCCGGTGGCAGCTGCAACAGATTTGCCAGGGATGTAGGGGAGGGAGGTGGCTCCATTCAGAGATAGGAGACAACCGCCCCCTTTCTCAAATGCACCAGAGAGAGGGACCCCAAGGCAAAGGGAAGGCTGACCTCAGGTGACCCACAGCCGAGCGCCTGCTTTGGGCTCTGGGTTAGATAGTCATAGCCTTAGGAGCTCACACCCCCAAAAACCCAGCCTTGCAAAGGGCAGGCACGTGGCGGGTGCTCGGCGAGTGCTTCTGAGAGAGGGCCTCCGCTGGGCTCAGAGGCTTGTGTGTAATGACGCACACGTGTGGACGTCGGTGGATACGGTGGGGGCGGGGCGTGCCCGGGCAGCTGACTGTAGTGTAGTGGGGAAGGGCGGGGGCGTGGCAGAGGAGGACCCCCTGCACCAGCTCTGGCTCTACTGGCTGGAAGTGGGAGGTTCTGTTGCCTAAGGGCATCTGAGGTGCCACCCTAAGTAGCTTACTCCATATGCAGTGTCACCTGGAAACACATTGGAAATGCAAATTATGGAGCTCCACTGCAGATCCATTGATTCGCAAACTCTGGGGTTGGCCCCAGCAGTCAGTCTAGATCAGCCTCCAGGTGAGCCTGATGCAGCCCAATTTGGGAACCACGGGTGTGTGGAAAGAGCACCAGGGTTTGGCAGGAAGGTGGTGGACTGGGGAGGGAGGTGTGAGGTAGAAAGTTTACGTGGGTGAAGACCTATGGTGCTCTGAGCAATGTGTGCCGTTACTTACCCTCTCCTTTAAGGTGATCTGAGCAGCAACCGGAGGTTATGTACCATCACACTCTCATTATAGATGGAAGACCCAGCCTTGGGGAGTTAAATGACTTGCTTAAGATCACACAGTGAGTGCTAGAGCCAAGTTCTGCTCCCAAATTGGCTCCAAAAGCAGGTTTTTCCTACCATGGCAAGTGCCTCCTGGCACCACCCAGAGTGCCAGTCTGGCAGCAGTGCCCGGAGAGCTCCAGGCTGCCTGGCACAGAGCTCCCGGCGGTGGAGAGCTCCCAATTGCCTGGTGGAGAGCTCACAGCACCTACACAGAGGGCCTGGTGATGGGCCAGTGCCGAGGCTAAGGCAAGAGCAATGAGCCTTCTGCTCTTACTCCTGTCCTCAATTACTGAATTTTCATAAGGTTTGCCATTCACACCAGGGAGCTGAGCTTAGCACATGTACTTTCCTAAGTGACCAGCTGTCATCCGGGAATTCTAGAACTGAAAGGTTAAATGTGAGGTTAAGTGAGAAAAGCAGAGTGAAAAATGACCTGTATGCTGTGATTACTTTAGATACATATTTTTAGAAAAAGACACATTAAGAACACAGAGGAAAAATAAATAAAAACAGTTGTAAAGGAATTTTCTTCCTTCCCCCCACCCCCAAGTTGTGTTATGTGGCTATAATTTGTACGATGAATGTGCATTCATTTATTTTTAAAAGTGCAACGGTGACACCCCATATAGATGGCTGTGGCATCGTGGACAGCTCTGTGCCCAGGGGCAGACACAGGCTCTCTCTTCAGGGCAGTGTCCGCCTCCCCACCCCCCTTGGAGGCTGTCCCCAAGGCCAGTAAGAACAGTACAGGGATGTGGCCTAGGGGAGCAGTGGGACAGAGCTGACGTCATTTTGACATCCATGACCATCCATGATATCCAGGGTCTCATGTCCTCTGGAAGTGCCTCTCCGTGTCAGTTGTCACCTGGAGGGATTAAGAGGGACTTTGGGGCCGAGGACCAGCGTCCTGCAGGCGACTCTGGGAGGAGCAGCATCTAGAAGGGCCGACTCAGTCTGGACATTGGTGCCCTGAGAGTAGGCAGCCCCTACTCTCTCAACAAAGGCCACCCGACACCTTGAAACACAAAATATTCTTTTATTTGTCAACAAAGGCTACACGGGGTCACTTCTGGTTTTGTATTTTATGCCTCTTTTTTTTTTCTAGAAGGTATCTACATCTGCATTTATGTACAGCCTTGTCGGTATTTACACAGTCAGGAATACAGTGTTAGAAACACAAATGTGTTGAGAAAAAAATTTCTCAAAAATGAGTTCCAGACTTCAGGAAAACTAGTTCCGCATGGTAAGGCCAGAGTCTCCAGTGTTGGTCATCAGAGGCAGCTCGGAGAGTCCTTCTGCCCAGGCTGCGGGTTCAGGAGTCTTCGAGGACAGGCAGGTTCAGAAACATGGGATTCTGGGGCTGGGTGAATCCTGGGCTCGGGGAGCCGCCTGACCTCTGGGACCCAGCTTCTGACAGGCTAGCTGGGCTGCCCAGGAGTTGGTTCTCTGTTGGCAGTTTGCCCTCAGAATCAATCACATTTTCTTGGGGACCCAGAGGTGGCCCAGTAGCATGCTTTTGGCATTCCAGAGGGGGTAAGAAACCCAATGTTGGCCCCACCTAGGCCTCCCCCCGCTCTGATCTTCCACATTCATGATGAAACCTAAGAGCTCACCGCTGTCTGGGGCGGTCAAGTACACAAGGCTGGTTTTTGAGAATGTAAAAAAGGGTAGAGAGGATAAAGTTTCGATCACCTGAGCAATGAGTCTTTAAAATTAGAGTTTGCTGTTTTTTGAAGGTTAAATGAAAGGGCCTTGAACTCCAGAGTTCTTTCTTTGAATCCCCTCCTCTCCAATAAAATAGAGAGGAGTGTATAAACCTAGCGGGGAATTATGGGCATTCGATGGAGTCCTAGTGAGGACCCCAAGGAGAGCCTGGGCTCCTTCTGAGATCCCTTGGGAGGTGGGCTCCCCCTGGGGACCAGGGGTGGTAGCTGCTGTGAGGAATGAAGAAAAGAATTGACTTTGAATATCAGGAGCTCAAACCCCAAAGCTGGGGACCCTGCTGAGGCCTGGCAAGCTCCTTCCTCCTGGGCCCAAGCTCAGCATCGCTGCCCTCACCACGTGGTAACCCCAAACCCAGGCTGCAGGTGCGAAACTGGTTCTAAGATTTCACACTGAGAGCCTCGCCTCTGCATAATGGAAACTCCTGCCCGCTACACAGGTGGCACTTAAAAGTCAGAGCTGAAAAGGTCCTTTCTTTTTTAAAATTAATCTGACTCCTTGTTATGTGTCTATAAAACCACGGCCCAGTTTTCCTCACCTTTGGCTCCCAGCCCCACCCCATCCCGATGATTGACAAGCACACCTCCTGGCCATTCTCAGCCTCGGGTTGGTTTCTCAGGGATTGTTTCAAATCCAGAGCTGTGTCTGGAGCGTGGGTAAAGTGGAAATCGTATCCAATAAAAACAAAGTTGGGGTATCACCGAAGTCCTATTCCAGGTGATGGCAGAGGGCTGGCTGAGGGTGAGGAGCTGGAGGCAGCTGCGAAGGGTAGGGGAGAACTCTTCCAAGGTAAATTTTATTCTGACATCCTGCAGAGTCATGAACGTGGGCCCATGAAGGATGGCTGGTGGCTCCAGGGGATGGACACACTTTGGTTGCGTGGTACTAAAAGGGCAGGTGCCATCAAGGTTGGGATTTGATGCCTGGAGGCCACTAAACAGGCACAGGGACCTCTGGCTTATGCCTTCAGATTCCCTCTTGCTGTGAGGGTGGGGTTGCTGGTCTCAGCAGGAGGACAGACTGAGAGGGGACGCACAGAGTCACCTGCCAGCCCAAAAGGAAACCAACTCCGAACCAGCCAACAAGACCGGGGCCAGAAGCACGTCTCCAATAGCAACAGCACTGAAGTGAACCAGGTGCCTGATGCTGCCTACTCCTCACCTGAGATCCTTTCCCTAAAGCCTGGGGTGCTTCAGCTTCTCCCTGCACAGAAGCTGGGCCGCCTTGGTGGTAGGCAGCCCAGGAAAAATAGAACACCGATCATTTAAAGAAAAGGAATGATTCTGTGTTTTTGATCTCTAAAAGTCCACACTATGACTTTGGTGGGGGTGCTGGTGAGGTCAGTGGTTGGGGAGATGCAGGGAGATGGCTCCCTTGGCCCTCACGCTGTCTCTGGCCTCCAAGTGGACGTCCCCAGCAGGTCTTGACTGATGTCCGGCAGCCAGGATGGAACGGATCAACTGGGCCTATTGAAGGAGAGCTTTGTCCACGGGCCCCTATGGCAAGAGTACGTTTGGAGAGGCAGAAGCCCATTTTGCATAAAAAGCTGTGTTCTGCAGGCCATGCTTTTTTCCATCCCCTCTGAGAAGGCTCCTGCAGGATGGAGCCCACCCCCAGCTCCCGCTCTGTAGAGTGGACCCGAGGAGCTCTGTGTCTGACTTGGGCCACCAGTGGACCAACAGGCCACAGCGCCCTGTCGCAGCGGCATGACTTTTTTTTTGGAAACAGGAAGAGCACTTAGCGAAACACATCCTTTGATCCCAGTGGGATGACATAAGGCGAAACCTCCTATCCCGAGAAGCTGTGCGTGCCTCCCTCTGCCAGGCAGAGCCCGGGCTCCACGCCGCTCCGATTCTCATGCAGTGAGAGACCTTCTTGGTTTCATTAACTTGTGTAATATTCTGAAGACTCTGTGAGTAAGGCCATAAAGGTGCCATGAGCTTATCAGTCCAACAAGGTTGCCACGGAGAATAGCTCAGACTCAGAATTCATTTTCCACACTTAATGTAAATGTAACCCATAACAGTCCCGTTTTCTAAGAAGCCCAGCTCCACAGGAAGCCTGTGGCTTCCCCTCCTGGTCTCCCAGAGCCTCCTGTGAGTGGTGGTAATGATGATGGTAAGTGGGCAGATGAACCAGGACCCAGAAGCTCCCAGCTCTTGCTGCTTACCCTCCCCTCCATGCTTCCTCTGGCCTGGCTGGCTGCTGCCTCTCCCCGGCTGTGCCCTCCAGGTATAGGTTGTACCCACTCCTGACAGGGCTGGAGCCTCCTCCCAATGACCTCAGGCATCGGTATGTCTGCACAGAGACAACCTCCAGGATCCATGGGCACCAGCCTCAGGAATGGCCCCCAAACCTGGCGGGGTTGTGTGACATCACCAGGCCGCCTCAAAGCAGCTCTTTCCCTTCTTCCTTTTCCCTCTTTCTTTGAAGCCATCATTGGGCTCCTCCGGGGTTGGGAGGGGGCTGTTTTAGAGTAACTTCACGGGAAGAGTTTCCCGAATGCCTCTCCTGCTGCATTCTGTTCTGCAGGAGCCCATATGGGGAAGCTGGTTAGAGGGAGGCTTGGCTCGCGCCTTCCTCTCTTTGGCTGACTCTTTCTTAAACATCGTTCCAGAATCAAAGGCCACCAAGCACCTCTCTCCACACTCCAATGTCTCAGTGTTGGCAGCTGAGCAGTGGCGGGAAGGCGCCCAGCGTCGTGGGGAGAGGGCTTCACCTAGAAAGGCATGCTGGTACCCGTGCCATCATTGCCATCTTTTGCCCTGGGTGGCCTTCCCCTCCCTGGACATGGTGCCCACACTGAGGGCTTGCTTTGCAGTGCTGGTTCTCACGTCTGACTTTGGGAGAGAAGAGGAGATCAATAAGGAACATCGTGGGAGGACCAACCAACCACAGTCGTCCTGAAGGAAGAGGCTCTTAGTCCCAGGATGTTATGTCACCAGACTAGGGGAAAGGACCTGGCAGACACTTTCTCCATCCCAGCGTGGGGGTGGCACCAACAACTACACAGGATTTGCAAAAAGGGGCGGGCTTTTCATTTAGCATCAAAATATAAAGCGTGAGCAGGAGTTTGGGGCAGCTTGAAAGAGGTGCTGAATGACATCATGAAACCCCCCCGGAGAAAGACGAAGCCATCTGTGGTTCCCCGGAGGCATGGAACACAGTGAATAAAAAGCCACCACTCATCTGCGGGAGCTTAGCCGGGGATCCTCAGGTCCAGCAGACCCTCCTTCCAGGCCCCCTTAGAAGTTTGGTGCTGGCCTGTTACCTACACCCCTCACTCCTGCCCGACCCCCACTGAGGAAAGGGTTGCACATGAGACAAGTTAGCACAGACATTCGCGTCTCACATCACACTGGGTACCAAGGGACAGACAAGGACACATCCCAGGAGATGCGTCTCAAAGAGAAGAAATGTACCCCAAACAACAAGGAAAAATCCTCAAGGAAAAGGGAACAAAAGACAATAAAGTTTTCATTGTGATCACACTACAGAAAAAAAATACCTTCTGTTCTTTGCAAAAAATGTGTGAAGGCCAATTTTGTGTTTTTCTTTTCTTAAAAAAACGAATGTTGCATGAGTTACAATGCAACCAGTATCTTTTTTTTGTTTGTCTCTTTTCTGCACTTGTTAAAAAAAAGGAATTATTTTTTTTAAAAGTACAACACAGTCAGGTGTGCGGCCACAAAAGAGTAGCTGTCTTTGGCAAGAAGTCCGGGCCGTGGTCCTCTCTGTCACCTGCGGCCCATCTCGCTCTGTCTCATGAAGTGGATGTTGTTGGCGCTGTCTGACAGTTCTGGGTACTGCTCCACGGAGATCACGAAGAAGCCATCGTAGCCTTGAACCCGCCCTGTGTCCAGCACCTGCTGCCTCTCCCCCTCTGTCCAGGCCCGCAGGCCCTCCTCCCCTTCCCGCAGTCGCTGCTGCTCGCGGGCCCACGCCCGGCGCACGGCTCTCTGCCGGGCCAGCTCCAGCACCCGCGCTTTCTCCTCATCCAAGGTCGTCCCATAGCGGGTGTTCAAGCACAGGGCCCCGTACTGGAGCTGAATGTCTGTGTAGCGTCTAGTCCTGCCATTGAGCATCGTGTTGATCTGGGACACGGTGACGTTGACCCCATTCTCCAGGGTTCGCCGCCCCCCGCTGAGGCCCAGGATGGCCAGGTCGCCTTCCGAAGGCCCTGGTTTCACAAAGTAGTGGGTGTCCACCCCGCCGATGGTGAAATGCAGGTCCTCCAGGTAGTGGGCATTGTTCAAGATGGCGGCAACCCTCCGCCCGTCCTCGTTGGCCACACTAATGATGTCTGTGGTCACGCGGCCATCCTTCAATGCAAACTTGACCCCCTTGCCAAAGACTGAGCCACTGGATGCAAACTTCGTTGTCTTTGAGGCCTGCTGGCAGCTGGTGATTGTGGAGCCATAGAGCTGGTCAAAACGTTCGAGGGTGACGAAGGCCTTGAGCTGCTTTTGCACTTCACACTGTACCCCCAGGATAGACTGATGAGGAGATAGAGATATGGGTAGAGAAAAAGAGAGTGAGACAAAGGGATAAAAACCAAAGGCCTGGAGAATCAGTTTACATAACTAAGTCAAATCTATATTTATATAAGATATAGCACACGGCTCTACTCCTGATCACTGGAACATCCAGCCATCCTCTCTCCATCCCTTCACCCATTCAGAAACTGTTCAGGGAGCATCTTCTCTGTGCTGGGTCCTTTCCTGGGCGCCGGAGATACAACAATGAATCCGATGCTACCCTACCCTTGAAAAACTCACCCTTTAATGGGAAAGACAGATATGCCAACAAACGACTGCAGTCAAAAGTGATCCCTGGTGGCCTCAGAGCAGTAATAGCTGTAGCTAACATGTCCTGGTCTTTGAGAGAAATAATTCACATTTATTGTCTCATTTCATCTCCACAATAACTTCATATATTGGTACTGTTAGTATCCTGACTTTACAGCTAAGAAAACTAAGGCTCAAAGAGGTTGTGACCGGCCCACCAAGTATTCAATTTAACATTCAAACCCAGGTCTGTCTGACTGTAGAGGCTCAGTTTCAAGGAAGGGCTTAAGTGAGGAGCAAACAAGGATCAGGCTGCCTCAGCCTGAAGGTGGAGGAGTGAGGTGGAGAAGGTGGGGTTCAAGGACAAGCTCATGTGGGAGCTGGGACTGGAAGGATGAGGGGGTGATGTTAGATGGAGGAATGGCAAGAAATGCATTCTTGGCAAGAAAGCTTAGTAAGATGCCAAGCAGTGATTTATGTAAACCCTCTTACTCTGCTTTATTGCTCTCTGCTGGGTTTATAAATGATTTTCAAGGAGGGCCTCCACCCCACAGTGCTTCCTGGGAGATCCTCAGGTGTTCCTGCTCTTGGCTGCTTTGGGGGATACTTTGGGCCCTATCTTGGCATACTACCTACCTCCCCGCCCACCCTGCCCCCTATCTCCCCCCCATCCCTGTGGTAGTGCGGGGAGCTCAGCAGAGCAGCAGGCCCCGGGGCCTTATCAGCAACTCAGGGAAATGGCTTTAGAAACAGGCCCATCGGCTTCACACTGAAATTAAGTCCTCTTTATAATTAATATAACCCTGTCTGTGAACAATTATTTCCTAGAGTTTCACGAAAGCTGGAGTGCTCAACAACAAAGATCTCCGATGCCTGCCAAGGGCGGAAATCAATAATTCATTGACAGGCAAGGCTGGCAAACAGGCTGCTGAGCTGGGGCTCTGCGCAGTGGAGGAGGCTGCCTGGTGGTGGCGAAAGAGCCCAGCCACGGGAGTCAGCCCTGGGAACAGGCCAGCCCGGAGGCATAGTGGGGACTGGAGAGGGGCAGGGCCAGGCCTAGGGCAGCAGGGGACAGGCCAAGGGCAGCAGGGGGCAGCAGAGAGCAGATGGCTTGGTGGCCAGACAGACTTGGGCTCTCATTACCTTTTGCCACTCTCCAACTGAGTGACCTTGGGCAAGTTCTCTCTGAACCCTGGTCTCCTCGCTGTAAAATGGGCATGGGGGAGGGTGGAGATGCCCAATTCAGGGGGTTGTTTACTTTTTTCAACCATTTGCTCATTCAATGGAAGTTCCATGCACCTACTGTATGGGCTAGGCGCTTTGCTAGGTACCAAATAAGACCCAGTACTGGCCCTTTGGTGGCTCACAGTCGAGTAGAGATACAGGAAAGAAAACAGTAATTGAAATTCAGGGCAGTGAGTGCTGGGAAAGAGGAAGCTGTGGGGGCCACCAGAGCAGAGAGGGGCAGAGGCTAGGGGAGGAGACAGTGACCTGAGACCTAACAGTCAAGAGGGAATAAGAAACATGGGTGTGCAAGTTTCTGCCCAGGAGCAGTACGCCATCTGGCAACCCTGCTTTCCTCCTCAATGAGACTGGGCTCCCCTTGCAGGCCTGCTCTCTGCCTGATGCACTCCTGCTCTCACTGGCTGCAGCATGAGGCCTGGAAGAGCCAGCGACTAGTACAGACACCATGAATGGGGGTGGGGATGAGCAATGGATGCCTGAAGGGAGGGGGTGGGGTGAAACTGTTTCGAAGGACCTGTACAGCTATATAACTCTAGGAGTCTTTGAAATTGAGTCGTAAAAGGAAGACACGAGAAAGTAACATTTTGAGCATCTACAGACAGACCTGGGTTGGAACCTCAGCCCCACCCCTTCCATGCTGGGTGGCGTGGAACAACCTCAGGCATAAAATCTGTAGAAGGAGAACAATGAGACCAGGGGATAACCGTGAATTAACTTATGTAGAGTACCTCATGCAAGGCCAGGTGCAGCACGGTGCTCAGAACATGTCACAGGTTTTTAGAACACACCCTCTCCCTCCTTGCATGTTTGTTCTGGGGAGTGACAGAGGCTCATTGTTTTTGTGGAACTCCAAACTCAGTGTAACATACAAAATGCCTTCATACAGTGAGGGGCTGTGTGCTATGACAGCGGGCCCACCGTGGCCCACCAGCGGTAGGGTTACTAAGTGTTTGCTGAACAGTTTCTGGCAGGCACTGTGGACGCACCACATCCATTTCTATCAATGGCCCAAACCTTCCTGAAAAGCTGGTAGGACCTGCTCCTCGAATGTCTGAATGGCCCCCGGGGTGGGCAGCCGTGGGCATGAATTACCTTGCTGTTGTCCCACTCCTGAGTTTTCATCTGTGTGTGGACGAGCTCGTAGGATGGTTCCATGGCGTCCATGTCTGGCTTGGGATAACCTGGAATCACATTGTGAAGCTGGAATCCAAAGGTGAGCAGCCAGCTGTTGACATCTGGGAGGGAGAGAAACAGAAGTATCCCCAGGGAGTAAGTGGACCTCAGATGTGACATATACCAATATTGCAGCCTAGAGTTGGGCGGCAGGTGGGGGCGAGGATGTGGAGTGCTGCTGGAGGGAGGGTCAACAGGTATAACCACTTTGAAAACCAGTGTCATAGTATTCATGCTAAACACACCCTTGGGATCTAGCAACACCATCCAAGCTGTAAGTCTAAAACAGCAGTAACTTAAGTAGAACCTAGGTTTCCAGACTCCCCTCTCTGCTGTCACTCTAATCCCCGGGACCTTCAGCTTCATACACCCAGTGGCAGCTATTGATGGGTGAAGACTCCTCCACATCCACCCCAAACATCATAGGAAACACCTGCAGGGGACCATCACTCCCAAAGGAGAGATGTATATGAATGATTTTCAAAGAGAAAATTCACGTAAGAAACAAATTCTCCATCTTATGCTTGCTTTCTTTTGTTTTTGATTTTTCGTATGTCCCTCCAACCCTCTCTGCAGAGATTAGAGCCTCAGGGCCCAAGTGCCATAGGGCACAGAGATGGCTTGTACCAAAGATCAGAGGGATTTCCTCCATGATCCTGCCTGTCATTTACTCTGACAGCCTAAGGAAGTCACTTAACCTCCTGGTGCCTTCTTTCTATTGGGCTTGAGGATCTAGCCCAGTGATGGCGAACCTATGACACGTGTGTCAGAGGTGACACGCGAACTCATTTTTTTGGTTGATTTTTCTTTGTTAAATGGCATTTAAATATATAAAATAAATATCAAAATATAAGTCTTTGTTTTACTTTGGTTGCAAATATTAAAAAATTTCTATATGTGACACGGCACCAGAGTTAAGTTAGGATTTTTCAAAATGCTGACACGCCGAGCTCAAAAGGTTCACCATCACTGATATAGCCCCATAGATAGGTTTTATTGACTTAACACTTGGAGTGCGGGTGAATTTCCCGCCAAAATATAAGATGGCTCTGTCTTTTGGTTTTGTTCCATCCACCAAAAGGGTGGATTACAAACAAATATTTGGTAATACGCAGTTACAATCGGCCCGAGTTTACATGTGACACGGCACCAGAGTTAAGTTAGGATTTTTCAAAATGCTGACACGCCGAGCTCAAAAGGTTCACCATCACTGATATAGCCCCATAGATAGGTTTTATTGACTTAAAGCATTCCTTGGGGGTTATTAGTTACTAGAGGCCCAGTGCATGAAATTCATACATGGGTAGGTTCTCTAGGCCTGGCCACAGATTAGGACGATCAGGTTCCCCACTTCCCTGCCTCCTCCTCCTCTTGCTCCCTCAGCGCCCTGCTGCTGCTGCTGGTGGCCTTCTATGTTCTGTGCCGCCCCCTGGTGGTCAGTGCACATCATAGTGAGCGATGGAACTCCAGTTCTCCCGGTCGAACTCCCAAGAGGACATTTTGCATATTAGCCTTTTATATATATAGATAGTATATTAGGTATAGGGAGAGGTAATTTTGCCATGAGCATTTGATTCACTAAAGAATGGAATCAGAAAGCCAAGACATAAGGAAAAGAAAGAGAGTGAAGAGGGAACCAAGATGGTGGCATAGGTACACACTTGTACTTGCTGCCTCGCACAACCACATCAAAACTACAACTAAAAGACGAAACGGATATCATCCAGAACCACGGGAAGGCTGGCTGAGTGGAAATTCTACAACTAGAAGGAAAGAGAAAAGTGCATTGAAGCTGGTAGGAGGTACAGAGGTACAGAGGTGCGCATGACAATGGGCTGGCAACTGGGTACGCTATTGTCTTTTTCAATCGGGAGGGAGATACAAGCTCCCAATTGCTCTGAACTCCAGTTCCGGGCGAGACTCTGGGGACCCAGACTCATACGAGGAGAAACTGGACTGTCTGGCATTGGGCCGGAATGCGAGGGTGGCTTTCTCACAGAGGTGCTTGCAGTGATCATTGTTCCTGCACGGGGCCCGCGGGACACAGACCCCGGGACATCTCCAGGGCAGAGCAGACTAGCAGCAATTGCAGTTTGCTCTGCCCTGGCGATTCCCTGAGACCCCGTCCCACCCACTTTACACCACCCAAGCTGTGAGCAGAGGCTTTTGCATACGAATGGCCTGTTCTTTTGCAATCTAAAACCTAAAAAGCTGCAGCTGGGTCAAAGAGTGCCAAAGCCTCCAAAAGAAGACCTAGACAGCAGCCTGCATTGCTTCACAGCTGGGCCTCATCTAGGCACTTCCAAACCCCAAACAAAGAGGAAGAATCTGCAGATCTCTCTGTAGCTCCTGCTGGGTAGCCTCAGGCAGTGGCTGACTTTGCACCTCCTTGGAGATCTAAGAGCCAGTGTACCCAGTGGTCAGAGTGAGACCATACCAGAGTACAACTCTTCACATCCATAAGCAACACACTCAAGGGGCAGACTCAGTGAGCACCAAAGCCCCACTGAAGCAAGTCCTGCTCCATAAGGGTGTCTCCAGCACAGCAGTTCTCCCATTGTAGACACAGCTGGTCCTCACAGCCAGTTGGCCTGGTGATCAATTCCTCCCAATGATACCAACAGCAATCAAGACTTAACTACAACAAGACTGTGCACACAACCCACAAAGGGGTGCACCAAGAGTGTCAACCTCAGGTAATTAGGGAGGCTGAGCCACTGGGCCCTATAGGACACCTAGCACACAAAGCCCTCTATCAACACAGGGAAGCAGCCAAAATGCAGAGACAAAGAAACATGTCACAAACAAAAGAAACGGAGGAAAGCAAACTACTGGATATAGAGTTCAAAACCACGGTTACAAGGTTACTCAAGAATCTTCTAGAAACCTCTGAGAAATTTAGTGAGACCCTCAAGAATATGAAAAAGGACCAATTAGAAATTAAGCATACACTTACTGAAATAAAGAATAATATACAGAGATCCAACAGCAGACTAGAGGACCCCAAGAATCAAGTCAAAGATTTGAAATATGAAGAAGCAAAAAACTCCCAACCGGAAAAGCAAAAGCAAAAGCAAAAGCAAAAAGAAAAAGAACCCAAAAATATGAAGATAGTGTAAGGAGCCTCTGGGACAACTTCAAGCGCACCGACATCCAAATTATGGGGGTGCCAGAAGAAGAGAGAGAGCAAGATATTGAAAACATAGTTGAAGAAATAATGACAGAAAATCTCCCCTACCTGGTGAAAGAAATAGACTTACAAGTCCAGGAAGTGCAAAGAACCCCAAACAAGAGGAATCCAATGAGGACCACACCGAGACACATCATAATTAAAATGCCAAGGGCAAAAGACAAAGAGAGAATCTTAAAAGCAGCAAAAGAAAAACAGTTAGTTACCTACAAGGGAGTACCCATAGGACTGTCAGCTGATTTCTCAACAGAAACCATGCAGGCCAGAAGGGAGTGGCAAGAAATATTCAAAGTGATGAATAGCAAGAACCTACAACCAAGATTACTCTACCCAGCAAAGCTATCATTTAGATTTGAAGGTCAGATAAAGAGCTTCACAGATAAGGAAAAAGCCTAAAGGAGTTCATCCACCCACCCAAACCAGTAATTATATGAAAATGCTTGAAGGGGATTCTTTAAAGAAGGGGGAACGAAGAAAGAAAAATGGGTAAAGATAAAA